TAGTTTTACTAGCAGCCAATTGAATGATCTTTTCACGAAGAGTATTATCAGTAACTTCCTTTAGAAGTTCTATTACATTGTCTGCAGTGATGGTGAACATATTCATGTCTTCGAATTGAGATTGAAGCTTGTAGAATTCATCATGTTCACAGTGACAACTATCACCATGACATTTGCAAGCATCGTTCGAATCTTGTTGCACCTTATTAGAAGATTCAAGTTGCTCATCTTCTGTGGTATAACTTGCTTCAGAATCATCATAATCTGATTCGGAACCAGAAGTATATAGAAAACTATAAATCTTCTCTTGAATATCATCATCAAGTTCTAGAGTCTTAAGCTTTTCCAGCTTACAATTTGGAGCTATATGCCAAATTTTCCACATTTATAACACTTAATCTTATCAAGATCTCGCCTTGACCTATTCTTGGTAAATCTATGAGATTTACGATGAGCCTTACGCTCATCTCTTTCTTCTCTAGTCCTTCTTCTAGATCTTCTTTTCTTATGATGAGATCTGTGAGATTCTGATTTAGGAGTTTCTCGGTTGGTGCTTTTTGAAGCATCCGGTAAACCGAATTGAGTACAAAAATTCTCCTAATTGATATTTTTCTCTAAGCTTATCCATCTTAAGTTGTCTTGAGAGTTTTAACTCATTGCACAAATTTATGCCTTCTTGATACAATACAATATAATATAATATAATAATAAAAATATTATTTAATTATTTTTTGAACTAACAAAAAAATTAAGTAGCTAATAATAAATTATAATTAAAAAAAATACTAGATTATTAATTAAAACTAAAATTTTAAAAAAAACTTGCATTTTTTTTTATAAATTTTCTTTTTATTATATTTCTATCTATTTATATATATTATATTATATATATATTTATATTTATATTATATAGAAGAGTGAAGATGACCAGAACGACCAAGGGCAATTCTGAAAAATCTTATATTATTGAAGGGCAAAATGGTAATGTGTCATAGGATTAAAGAGCAACCTAGAACTTAGAAGTACAGTCTAGAAGTATCTGTTTCTCTTTCTCCTCCCAAGAGAACAAAATAAACAGAAGCCAAGAACTTGTAGAACTCCACGACAAATAAGAACTTTCTCTTCGTCTTTTCCTCATTCTTGTGACATCAGGTATGCTTTCCATTCAAATTTTTTTTGGTTGTCTCAAGTCTCAAGTTGATTTAACAAACCAAGCGAATTTGCTAAATTCATTTTGATTTTTACCTGCGTCTCCATTTTCTTGCTCTTTTCGTTTTACTTTCACTCTTTAATCGCTCTCTTTATCCTCTTTACTAGCATAACTGCCTCAATTAAAATATTAACGGGCATTAGCATTATCAAATACTCAAACACCTTAATGGTATTCTTCCTACAATGTGGATTAACCAACACAAAAATCCCATCCGAATAAGCTAACCTATTCATGGAATCAATTGAAGCGGCTAACATGACAACAACAATGTAGACCATTTAATACATCCCCATCCTGTTAAGCATAGTGAACATTGACACACAATAAGTACAAAGGACATAACAGATTCATCTTCTATAATAGATTTTTGCAACAAACAATCTATATAGTTTTTAATTGAAAAAAATAATAAAGCATATGTATATTCTCAATCATTATATTTTCACATGCGTCTCTCTGTTGACCTTATCATATCCAACTCGAGTTCATCAACAAAAAATGTACCTTAATTAACGGAGACTTGAACAATTATCACTAGTGTCAACTACGTATTGACAAATTTAATGTTAAAATGTTATCATCAAGTTAGATTTAGTTTTTAATCATCCAGAAAACTTCGAAATGAAAAATCTAAACTGAGATCCAAGCTTAAAAAATGGTGGATTTCGAAGCTTTCCACCAAAGAAATTTTGATTTGACATGTAAATGCCACACCAAATCCAATTTTTCGCTTCCAATATCATCTTTGGAGGTTCTAACATTAGAGTCTTGAAATGCCTATCAACTCAGTTTTTCTGTTGAGTTGCTACTGTGTCATTTTCTAAGGTACGCTAATTTAGCTATGTATAAGTTTGATAGTGGTTATACTCTTTATCTTTATATATGTTTGCACATATATGATAAATGATTCATATAGAGTCAGTGGTATGTATAGAAACTTTAACTACTTAATGTTGAGAGTTGACCATATTGTATTTTAACATACACATGTACTTATTGTTGTGTGGAGATCGTGACTCTTTCCTATAAAAGAGTGAGATTATCTTTTGTTGCTCAGTCAACTACATATATCAGGAGATTTCATGATTTCATGTATGTATAAGTTATAATGTTCACAATATGAGAATTTTGATGTATTTCAATTGTAATATATTTGTGTTATGTGTATAAGAACACATCGGCACTTGATTCAAAGCTTGTAGGATTCACATTGCATCGGCTTTGAAAAATCTTAACTTATTATATATATTTATACAAGATTCACTACCTTATTTATTTATTTTTGACTGTGAGAGAAATATGACAATAAAAGAAAACAGGTTTCTTGCAGGTCTCCTGGATATGCTCCAGTTTCACCGTCTTATAGTCAAGTGGCCAGTTCTGCCAATGTGCTCTCAAATGGGGAACAGCATTGAATAAATAATTATTGCATGATCAATTAGCATATGTACCCTTTGCTCAATATCCACAATTTGTTTTCTCCTTTTTCAATACCAGGTGCTAACGACCTTGGTATTCCAAAGGCTCAACTTGAGGCCCATTAGATATCTTTACAGCAACAAATTGAGGTATTAAAGTTTCTAACTTAATTGATATCTTTATTTATTAATTATGCATCTATTATACATTATAGTCTAAACCTATGCAATAATTGTAGTTGAAATTCTTTCATTTTCCTGAGAAAATTTAGTTCGACATTTGGAGTTGAGGACTGTAATGTGTTTGTTGGTTGACTGGTTGTTAGTATAGAGGTATAGAAGTGGTGTTAATTCTAGAAATCGATCAGTGTTGCTTCCTATATAAAAATTGCATCAATACATGTCTCTATCAGTAGTTGTAGGTACATATATAGCTGCTGGTACACCTGAAAGAGTACAAAATTGTGAACTGAAAGATGATTTTTAGTAGTCAAAATAGGACTACGTTTATCAGAAACAAAAGGTGGATTTATCTATTATCAATTCAGGTAAGAGGAGGGCAAAAGGGATAGGAACGACTTTTTTTTAAATGAGAATTGCAATATGATCCTAGGAATAACTTATCTAATAAGATTAGCATATGATTCCTTTTCAAATACTCATATTTCAAGTGTTTCAATTACTTTAAAAAATTATACTAAAATGTTGATGCACTATTTTATTTTATTTTTATCCAATCTTGTGACTTTTTTTTTGTCAAAGATAAGTGTAAGATAGTTTTTCACGTTATGTCCGATTATGATATTCTCTATTGTTTTGGCTGCTTTCTTGTGTGTAAGACCCCTAATATTCTTTAAACATACTTTTGGTACTCTAATTAGGGTATAAAGAAAGCCTAAATCTTTTACTTAACTAAGATATTTAAGAAGAATTGATGATTGGATTGTTTGAAAGAAAAATCTGAAAATTCCATCTTTGTGCAAGAACTCAGAGGCAAGGAAGTACATATTAAATGAACTCAATGGCACTGCGAGTAAACACCAAGCATGTATGTTATCAGTTTCGATTTCTTCCATCCTATGCTTCTGTCATATTTTTTTTTTCTGATCTGAAAAATGCTTGCATATCTTTAGGTCGTGAAATGTGACATACAACTCATATGGAGTCGAATCTTTTGATACTGCAATTGATTTAGCTGTGCCTACGCTCAAAGGTTTCCACTATTTGACCATTATAAGGTGAATAATTTTATTTTCCCATGATGAAATTCAATCCACTCGTGTGAATATGATTTTTATATTTTCCGTCTCATTACTTATTTAATAGTAGCTATTATGTTGCAATATTTGAAGTCAAAGAGGCACTAAATAGATTAGAAGAAAATATTTTAAAAACTAACTCTCTATATTTCAGAGCTTTAAGATTTATAAAGATAACTTTTGGATATTTTGAAAATTAATGATAAGAGTAGTAGTTGAGGCAAGGAAAGGGATGGGGAGGTAAGGCAGAAAAAAAGGATAAGGAAAAGGGACCTTAACTTTGAAAACTCAAATGGAAAGCAAGGAAAGCACAAACTAACTAATGTCAAGGGTTGGAGATAGAGAGTGATGAAGGGCGAAGAGGAACTCGGTAGCTTGCTCCAAACAAGTTTCAGAGATGTAGAAGCCAAAGGCAATCTCAAGCCATTTGGGTGAACACAAATAGTTTGTTATTATCTCCTGATCACTTAACTACTCCTTGAAATACTTCTTCTAATGATTCTCTTAATTTATAGCAGGAGCAACCTCAGCCCCTTTAACTACTCTTCGAGACTATTTCACAAAATTTACGTGTGGGTTTATCTACTAAGAAAAGGATTTTGATGAACTTGTAAATTGGCTGATATTTTATACTGTACATGAAATATAAACTTTTCTCACTATTTCATTAGAGTAATGCTAATGTATATCAATATTTACTATTAATCAATATCTCCAATGAACTTATACTGACATTTTCCATTACCCTTTTCTTTAACATTTTGCCACAGACACCATGTAGTTTAACTTTCCAATTAAGAAATGAAAGTATTCCATAGAGGTGGACTTCTGGTCATGCTCATGTATTATGTTAATGCCATTTGACCTAGAAGATGAAATAGATGAGTGTTTTCCTTTATCTCGATTAATGTCTTAGATTTTGGACAACACCATTAATAAACCTAAATATATATCACCCTTGATTCTCTCTTGATTTAGTAAAATATGGTTCATCTGCTAAGTCTATTTTGGTAAAGAACAATAAACCTAGCCCAAAATTTTATCTTGTTTGTAGCTCGCTCAATTGTTGAATCAAGAATTTGGATTATATTTTTATCATATTTACGTGTGTTTTGTAGGTTCATTATAGAAAACAAGTTCAAGCTCTCTTTCTCCTATATAAAAAATAACTGCAATGAATCATATTGTTACAATACGTTTTGTCGTGCAATCTATGCTAAACTCCTTCCAGTTTCTATGAATTCTTCCAAAGTAAGTAGAGTTATTGTCATTCTCTTATCTTTATTATATATAGTAACATACAACAAGAGGCCCTTTCTGGTTTTCACGTATCACTGTTGATCATCTTTGTTTCGCCCTTAAAAGCAAGGTATCAAGGTTAAAATGAATTTCAAAATTATAAGTCAGCAGTTCCCTACTCTATGTATGGTGGGATGGTGCACTGGAAAAGGAAATGTATATGAGGCAGAAACTTTTGTCATAACCGATGATGTTAAACTTTGTAATTTTAAAATCAGATGCACATCTGAATATACTATGATCCTGATGTTATGGGGATGACAAATAATGCCATTGTAGCTGATTGTTGAGTTTTTACTTTTGAGAATGCTGGTGAGACATTTCAAGCAGGAGCCATGTATCTGAAAGAAATTGGTGTTGAAGCTAGGAGGTTGAGTGTTGTAAAGTGTATAAGTTTCATGTTAAAAGGAATTCTGAGAAGTCATTTTCTGTTGTAATTAAGATTTTAACCTAATAATATTGGTAGCTTATATCTGTACTACACGTTATTGTGCTCTTATTAGCAAATTCCTTCTGGAATCTTTTCAGTAGAATCATTTGTGTAGTATTTATTTATCAAAAAAGACCATCATGTTGCATGGTAGCAGTAGGTGATTCTTTATGATTGCCTTTTGCCTTACTCTTTTAACAGGCTTTGAGGAACAATTTCTTTGTCAACTTCTTCTTTGAAGTGTAAATAACGTAATGTCTGCAGTCCATTGATTGTTTTGACATAAAAGGATGATGAGACTGATAGTGTACAATTGTTGCTAGCTTTTACTGAGTAGTCAAAAGTAGAGAAGTCTCCACAAAATGTAACCGATCAGGAGATTCTTGAAATGTAATGTCAAGGTGGGACACCATTCATGTCTTTGTGATTGATTTATGAAGATGTTGAATCATACTACATCCTGTAGAAAATGGTTAAAATGTATTCCTTTTATCATTGTTATTCTTCTTTTGCAATTGAACAAAAGGTTAGGTCTCTAGATTTAATAGTTCAGGTAGATGTACCATTAAAAAATGTTCCTCTATAACATGTGTCGAAAGATAAAAAACAAATGATATGGCACTAAAGGCTGCATACAAGTCATTCTTCACATTAGATCAACTGTCAAATTATAAAAATGTAATCTCACAAAGTTTTATAAAGAGATAAGAATGAGGTATATATTATCTTATTATGAGAAAAAAAAAAAAAGGGTGTATACTATTGTTCTTATTTTTTGAACGAAAAAGATAACAGATTGAACAATGAGAGGTTAGGGACTTGTTATTGTGATTGTTATGGCACAGTTGATAGAGTCATTTTCCTTAAATTTGAGGAAAATTAGTTGATTTTCCAAAAAACATTTAGCCCAACCAAACATGAGAAAATTGGAAAACATTTTCCCTTCATAACAAACACACCCTAAATTTGCAAGATCTAAAAAAAAAGAGCAAGTTGGTGACCGATGTCGGCAATAGCAATTTTGAGTCTCACCATTTAATGTACTTTTACTAAACAAACAAAAACAATGTAACTATCGAAAACACTTCATTAATATGTTATTCATGTCAACATTTCTATTTGTTGCTCTTCTCTATTCTTACGTGGGTTCTTTTCTTCTTTTGTGAAGATATCGATTTATTGGATGGAGAAAACTTAGCATAGAGATAATAAAAATATTAACTTTTGATTTTGTCAAATAAAATTTGTGACTTAAGTTATTGTGATTGATTTGGAAAATTTACATTGATGATTTGCTTGGCTTGGTATGAATGCATAGTAATATGTACAAGAACCATTCGCAATATATTTCTGCAAAGCTTGACAATGTTCCTACCAACATTATTCAGAAATATTTATTACTATTTTAGATCTCAATCATATTTTTAAGAAGGATTTAAACAAATAAAATTATATAAAATTTAAAATGTTGGAACCATCTAGTATATATTTCTATTATATAGAAGAGTGAAGACGACCAGGACGATCAAGGGCAAATTAGTAATTATGTTATTATGAAAGGGCATTGCTGCTTGCCGACCAAGGGGTAAATTAGGTATTACCAACAATAATCGCTGTAATTGACTTGTACCAGCTGCTATCATGATTATTTTATTGCTCTATTGGACAAAAATCCAACACATATATATGTATTTATTTATTCGTCCTTTCTCAAAATGTACTACTACACTGACTTATGGACCCCAGCTGGTACTTAATTATTACGTGCCATGTGTTTTTTTACGCTGGTACTTAATTACTACGCGCCATGTGCTTTTTTACTCTTTTTTTTATCTGTTTTTTTACAAAGTGTGGTCCTTACTTAGATGTTTACTACACGCGCTCTTTATGCAACTTTTTAAATAGAGTCATCCAATAAAGTGGGGTCCATTAAAATTTTATTTGACAAGTTCTTCCTTATTTTGGTCTCTCACATTTTCTAACACGGTACCTTTAGCCTTTTAAGTGTTTTTGTACTTAAAATATTACTCTTAATATTATCCCTCCCCTCTATTTTATATTTTAATTTGACACAGAGTTTAAGAAAGAAAAAAAATTAAAATTTATGATCTAAAACAAGTGATAAATATTTATGTAGCTATAAATAATTTTATTAAGATTAAAATTAATATTTTAAAGTTAAATTGTATCATTCTATTATATATATATATATATATTATTTTACTACATATACGTAGTAAAGTGGTAATAGTAATATTTTTCTTTACTATTTAGTATTTTCTTTTTATTAAATTTATTTCTCTAATATTATTCTTTATGTTGATTATAAATTTAAAAAATTGTATTATTTACTATTTAGTATTTTCTTTGTATTAAATTTATTTCTCTAAGTCTGTTGATTATAAATTTAAAAAATTGTATAAATAATACTAGAAATAATAATTAACAATATAAATATTTAAAAGCTATGTAAAAGAAAATTTGATTGACTCTTGACACTCTATTGGTGCTACAAAAAAAATGAGTTAGATGACAAATATATATTATTCTAAATTGAACGTAAAAAGTACTATAAATCACAATAATTAACAATTAAAAAAATCACTTGACTCCAAAAAATCTATCAATGCCACATAAATTGAGACATGAGAAGTAACATATATTATTTGAAAAATTATGTTAAGAAGATACTATAAATTACAAAAAATCAATTTAATATGTTTAAAAAACATAAAAGGTTAATTTTTGAAAATCCTATATTATGCCACATAAATTGAAACAAAGAGAGTAATAAAACAAGTATAAATTATAATAATAACACCTTAAAATATTTTTAAAATCATATAAAAAATTCGATAACTTCTCAAGTTACATGATATAACATAAATTAAGACACAAAAATTAACATTTATTGGGCCCCGTGTAACAAAATATTTGACTCTTGAAAAATCCACTGCTTGTTCATTACTTATGTTTAAAAATAGTATTAAAAAATTATCGACACTCAAAATTCTATTAATGTCACATAAACTAGGATAGAAGAAATAACATTTATTATTTAAAGTTTATATAAAAAGTACTATAATTATTGTAATTATTAAATTCAAATATTGAAAAATCATATAAAAAAAATGATTAACTCTCTAAATTCTATTGTGCCACATAAATTAAGATAAAAGAAGAAACATATGTTATTTATAAAAATGATGTTAAAAGCACAATAGTACTATAAGTCACAATAATTAACAACTTAATTTTAAATAAATAAAT